GGGGGGGTCTTATACGCAAGTGAATATGGTAGTAATGTGCAAGGGCTAGTAGAGGGTGTCGGCAGAATGCATTACTCACTCTTAAAGAAAATGCCAGAATTTGCTTCTCATTATGTTAAATTATTCACCCTTATAAATGCACAGTGAGTGCATAGTAATTGCTGCTTCAGGAAATATTGGTAGTGTTGGCAGTAGTTAAAAAAAAAGTAGCAAATATTATGCACATAATAAAAGCCTGCACCTGTGTGTTTTTACTCTGGAGTAGTTTTTTGCTGTGTCTATTCACATCACAATCTCTACACTGAATTCTGCTTGAATTAGAAGTACTCAATTCTATGGTGAGAAACAAGTTCAAGATTAAATTTCAGATCCTGTCTGGCCCTCATTAAAAAAAAATCATTACAAATGTAATACAAATTAAAATGGCATGTGTAGCATTTTTGCTCCTTCCAGTACTGCTTTGTTTATGCTTTGCTGCAAAAGGTGTCAGAATAAGTTGCTGAAAAACACATTAAAGGTTCTCAGTATGGGGTAACATGAAGTTCTAATCAAATCATCTCAAGGAATTATTTTTATCTATCTCATGACTGTGTTTTTGCTCTTGAAGCAGGATGGTTTTTATTTTTTTCCAGTCAATAGCATGTATGTGTTGAGTTCTGAACTGGTTATTGCCTATTTTGTTCCCAGTTTGGGCGACGGTGTGACGTTCCCCGTCAGGGCGCAGCACCAATCTAACTTGTACAACTCAATGGGCAGTACCCACAACAGGTCAGATGAGTTCAAGGTTGTGCCCTTAGTTCCATCCCAACCTCAGCAGGATTCAGTAGTTCAAATTGTCTAACAAGCATGTCGTGCTGCGATTCATCATCCCATTGTGTTTTTGTGTGAACAGTTGTTAAACCTCCATTCTTTCATTCTTCCCATTGAGTGACATTATGTACGAGAGGACTTTATTCTCAAAGGAGCTGGCTGAAGGAGGAATTAAATGTATCTGTATCAATGTTAAAGCTGTCAGGTGAACGTATTTTGGAAGAAATTAATTAATACGACTTTCTTTGGGTTCCATTCAATCATCATCAGAACACCACAAAATAGCCTGCTATTTTTATCAAACAATTCATCACAAAATATTGAACAGTAGCAAGCTTTATATGTAGAGACAATAGTTCTATCAACTCACTGCCTTTGCCTGATAAATTGGTACACTAAATAGGTGTAGGGTATTTAATAGCTTAATTAAATGTTTTTTTGTTGTTGTTTTTTAAGTTTTTGAAGTCATTTAGAGTAAAATTTATCTTGGCTGAAAAATACTTCAAATAACTACTTGAAGTTGTTAGTTACATTGAAAGAATTGTCACTTTTCTTCCACTTTAAACTGAATTTCATTTTGTGATAGTGGTCGAAGCAAGTTAATTTAACCTCAGGTGTGTGTGAGTTGTACACACTGAAGATAGTATAGCATGGGGTTTTATTTTATTACTATTGTTATCATTACTTTAGTACAGGATGGCAACTTTTCAAAGTTACTAACACTTAAAATGACGAACTTAACTTTTAAACAATTGACGGGACCAGCATGTTTCTTTTTTTATTCATATAACTTTGTCTTGAAAGACTTCATTTTAACTGTGTACTTCTATTGATTAACTGTGTTGATAATAGCTATGTACAATGTATGTATACTTAGTGGTGGTTTGGATTCACTACGTTTCCAGTATTTTTCCAGATCCTGGTTAGATGCTTTAGAATTTTGGAACAACTTGTAAATTTCGAACTGCTGACTGTCTCGAGTGAAAGAAAATAAGTTGTGAATTGGCAGAGCAAAACTAAGTGAAAATCTAGTCAGTTAGAAATAAATTGTAATTTCAACTGCTTCCGGTAATCAAATTCCTTTTCTTAGAAAGCAAAACATTTTGTATTGATTTATAATTTTCTCTATATTGGTTAAGATCAAATGCTCTCTCTGGTTCATGGTAAACATCCACGAACTTCGACGATTGATTTAAATGGCAGTGAATCGTTAATGAATGGAGTACTTGATAATTTATATTGTCTTCTTCAGTGTTGTCTTATATACTTAAGTTAATCTTCAACCCCCAACAATGAAATACAAACGCTCATTCACACAAAGTAAAAGTAAAACACTCTGTATTAGAGTTTGCTGGGACTTTCTTTGATTGTTTATACTGTACCATGTGACTTTCTATTTTTAACGGTCACATATTGCTTGATAATTATATTTCTAATATTTACATGTATTATTTTGAGAAAAAGACTTTATTTGTTAACTGTGTATTAATTTTTTCTATGGTGCGTGGTCAATTCTATTATATTTTATTGGTCAAAGTGCTTGCTGCATATTCTTACCAGTTCTGAAATAAACATTCACTGCTCACCAATTAAGTACTTTAAAATTGCAGCAATCTTCTGTGTTTTGTGATAACCACCAAAACGTATGGTGACATCGTAATTATGAAGCTTTGACAACTGTGATAATCTTTTGTTCAGACTTAATACCCTCTTGATGGTGGGAAGACTTCTGTATTTCTCTTCTGTATTGTTATCGCCACACTTAATCTTAATTACTATCTGGTGAGAATTCACCAGTGCTCAGTGACTTAGGCTTGACTTGTCATGCATTTTTTAACAGTTCTAGTTCTGCAGTCTGTCATTCTTTCTATTGATTTTATTTAAACAATATTGTGTTCAAGTTGCCAGTCGTGGACTATTTGAAACTTAATAAAAAGTGTTTGGTGAAGTGGCTCATTGTAAGAATTGAATTTGGCTGTCATAATTATATTTTAATCTTCCTTGGGCCGCAAGTGACTGCTTCTTATTGCTAACACAATGCCAAAAATATTGTTCTTCTTAGAACCTCTGTATTTTTAGTCTTCAGCGAGTTGCACACATTTCTAATATGTTATGTTCATTTTCTGCTTTTTTGTTGTAGTTCCATATTACCTCAATGGTGTACAGTATTTTCAAGTGATTTGTATTTGAGTGTAAAGGCCACCATATTTTTAGTTCAGTGTTCTAGCCAGATCTGTTACCCTCCAAAGTAGCAGTATAGATATCTTCAACCCCTATTAATTTTGTTGATATGGCAACTATATTTTATGAAATGAATTTGTTACAGGCTAGTAGGATTATATAATGTATGTACATAAATTATGGCAAATAAATTTTAAGATGTACTTGCTTGATTTTCTGCAGCATTTTTATGAACCACCATTCATGTCTACAACCATATCTCTATCATAGTTACAGATAATGCACAAACATACAGGGTAGAGGCAATCATTGATTTCATTTGCTTATCCATTAGCAGATAAAACATTTGCAGGTGCATGTTGTCTTCTTGCAGCTTTGTGATGCTAGTTGAAAACCCATGAAATATGCTTTGGAATCATTTAGTGTGTTTGTTATTCGCATTATTTTCCATTTTCCAGAGGGATGATTTAGCCCAGTGTAATTGGCTTGTTATTAATTCATAGGTCTCAGCTTCTTGATTGCTGCAGATCTCATGACAATTCTTCCATTTCTACTAGAAAGATTAGAGCCAATCAAAAGAGCTTGAAAGACAGTGGGAGCCATCAGTTTGGGGACAAAATTATGTTGTCTTGTGATAAAACTTGTTTAGAATCACACCCTTTTTATTGCCATTTTCAAGCTTGTTGCATTCTGTTGACAGCCTTGGTGATGGAGTGACATTTCCCCAGCGCTGTATTGATGAGGATACCGACTCGCTGCTTGGGGGCTGCCAGAGATGGGATGACAACGAAGCCGGATGCCAACGATGGCTGGAGTCTGAGGCCACTTCACACCACCACGTCCAGCAGGACGACTCTGATTCATCATCTGCAGTCCCTGACATTGTTATCATGAACTGAATGCCATATCTTATCTGTGATCTTTGCCTCACTTATTTCATTCCAGGACAAGGAACAATTTTATTTGAACACACTAAAAATGAATGTATTGTATCCACTAATGTATCGTAGCTGAGGCAGATTTCTGGAGGTTTCCAGAATACTGGTAAAGTAACTTTTAATAAGCTCTGCGTTGAGCACAAGTTCAGTTTCAGAATGAACCAGTATTATTGTATCATCCCAACACGTACATCTGTAGGGGGTACTATTTCTAGTCTAAACAAATAAATGCCATCAGCTTTACTATGAATCTTCTATAATTGATATGAGATCTGTGTCATAGCACTATGATACCTCATTTAGAAGTACACACAGTTATGGGCATCTGCATAAAACATGACCATACATCCGACAATATTTTAAGACTGATTCAACAATAGTTTGCACTGCTGATTTTTATTTTTTATTTATAGAGAGAGTTGTATACATTCATGACATCAATAAAACTTGAGTCAAAAATGTTTGATTGCTTCCTTTTCTTCTTTGACTTTTTTTAGAGTTCATTAGTTTTACTAGTGTTCATTTCGTTACAAATCTCTTATCCCAGCCTCTGTTATCTGTAGACAAATAAGAGATTACTGAGATAGAAATTACAGAGACCAGAGCCCGAGCAGTTCATCATGGAGATTTTACTTACTTGGAATTTTGCACTTGACATACACTGGTTATTTCCTTTTAACACAATTGCTGCTTTCAAGTTGCCCGCAATGCGACCCAGCAAAAGCCGCTGAGTTACTCTATGTCCCAGGCTCTCCCCAAGTGCAGGAGAAAGTTCACTCATATTAGGGGTTGATTTTATGATACGTGTTGTCAACTGATTAGTAATTACTATCTATAAAAGTAAAACAATTAAAATTTAATTTAATTAAAGAGGAAGGCAAATCAATGTATCAGAAAATAGTGAAAAACAAAAATAAACTGTTGCTTACAGCAAGTCTATTATGTACAGCTAGTTTTTGAAGGTCAGACAAAATTCGATAAATATAACTGGTGCGATCAAGAGTGTTGCAAGTCTCCCCACAGGTAAAAGGAAATGCTAAACTATCAATCACAACAAGTTTAATCTGAAAGAAAGCACTACATTATTGACATCCACAAGTTGAAATGTGTCAAATATTTACAGTTTCCAAACCTGTGGATGCTGCTCAATTAATTGCGGGAGTACTTTAACAGCAGCCAGAAGCTGGACTATTCCATGAATAGATATCAAATGTATATTATTTAAGATACTATCAGCATTAAAATTGACGAAATCCCTTATTTGGTTCTTTCTTGAAAGCAGATGGCAATGTTTGCAGCAAGCATCAGCTATAGCTAGTTTTCATGTAAAAAGGAAAGAAATGTAATAATTAATCTCCAAATTTAAATTTGTGACAGAAAATATATGAGAACTCTCACTCACAGTGATACAAACCTCTAATACGCTGTGATGAAAAATTACAAGCAGTATCGATAAAAACAGCCTGGCCTTCTGCACCTCCAAGGGACTCAGGGATTTGTACATCAACACAAAGCTGTAAACTTTTTAATGGGTCAAGAGGTGTGTAACTACGTCAAAATTAGAGTCGGAAGTTGCGAAGAGACATTCTTCTTTTACCTCATTTGCGTCTTCCCTGACCCTGGTGCTCCACACAACTCTGTGATGACTTGAAAGGGAATTCCACCATCAAGTATTGAATCCACATCTTTACTCCATGTAACTATGCTGCGACTTGTACACTCTTCCTACCATAGTGGGTCAAATGATATCATTAGATAAAATACAAAATTCATTATTTCATTATTAAGATCAAAGACCAACCTGCCACAGATCGAGGGAATTCAAAGTCTGAGGGGGAGAGGTGAGAGTATTCCAACACTCTCCGCTGTGTAAATTCCACCTTTGTAATATGCTGCGAGCTTCTGGAGCAACACCTGTTGGCAAAACATTTTAATATAGTTTGGAATTTTAAAAAATCAAGCTGGCAAAATTCTGTTTGAAGAAAAACGTACCTGAATAAAAGCGATTGATAAAAATAGGAGTATTACTCACCGCGATGACTGATTACATCCTCGCAGAATAGAAAACCACTCTCTCGAAGAAGAAGTTGAGCCGATGCTGGCAGGGGAAGCGTTGAAATGGGCCGAAACATGATGAATATGAGTACGGACCTCGGGCTTAAGACAGCTGCAACCTTCGGCGTGGCGCACTAGCTCAAGGAGTTGAGTCAACAAACATCCCCCTTGCAGAGAGAGTGTGCCACAGACTGACACTTATTTCTGATTTCTGAGCTATGTTTACATACAGCTCATTCATGCCTGTGTGCAGACGACAGTCGGTCAGTCGGTCAGGTGTCGTGCCAAAATAAGCTACGGAAACATCTTTTATTATAAAGAACGTATTTTAAAACTAAAATTAAATGATTTAACGGAAAACGCCTTTTTCGTAACATCACTGTTAAATCAATATTAAATGTTAATTCCAACTAATTTGTACTTTTGAATGGAAAGATGGAAAGTCCACCGGTGTGATAACAGTTTTATGAGAAATTTTGCGAAACGACATAAACATAACCCTAGTTGTGGTGTGTGTTGTGTGCTTGCTTTTGATAATTTAAATTTGGTCGATCTCGATTTCCAGCTTCCACACCTCCAATTTCCTGGTGGATTAGATTGATTTTATAGCTCCTACTTCATATTATGGCCCATTGTTCTCTTCTGCTGAAATGCAGGAATGAGGACTTATTGAGGTGCTCCTTTATATGTCATAGATTTTTTTCAACCCAGAGGGTTTTAAATAAAAAGAAAGGAAACGATAGCGTGCCAGGTGAGTTTTTAAATTCCCAGCGTCTGAAATATTTAAGCTTCAAGGCGTACTACATTCGGTTCTCGTTTGCAGTGTTTGATTATGGTGCACCATCTGAAAAAACCAGAAGGGTTTATGCCTGGGGAGTTGCGGAGACTGGAGCTCTTGGAAATTATACCTCTAAGTTAAAACAGAAGATGAAAAAACTTGCAGAATTTTACCACCATCCAATACGTTTGAATTTTAGTTTACTGTATCAGGTACTTGACATTCATTGGAGACACGATACTTCATGTCTACTTTTATAATTCCATTATAATGTTCTGTTTGGTTCACGGCAGGTTTATGACATTACTTGCGGGTATGGCTTTACAGCATTTACGGTTGAACCAAACCTGCTTAAAGGTCCCCACAAAGTTTTCGGTTGTGGTGTTAATACAGATTCTCAAATTGGTATAGACTGCCATTACTTATATAATATTTTCCTCTTATCAGTTTTTTTATTTAATTAACAATGATTTTGATTAGGTTACCATGCTCCCCGGAAAGGCCACCCATTGGCAATGCTCATGAATCCTGGTCCAATTGAAATTCCTTTCAAAAACTTCAAAACCAAGTAAGGTGCTATTAACCCAAATTTTTAAAGGTATAACTTTTCCCAGTTATGTGCTTACTAATGTCTTTACTTTAAAGAGTCATCGGGCTTGCAGCTGGACGTGCCCATTTACTTGTACTAACTGACGAAGAGGGAGTCTTTACACTAGGGAACAATGCATATGGACAATGTGGGCGTCCTGTTATTGCAGATGAAAACTATGTGGGTAGCAGAAATATTCATTGTATCCCGGATGTGTCTGGATCTCGAATAAGATCAGTAGCTTGTGGTCAAGATCATAGGTAAGAAGTCAAACTATATATTTTTTAATTAGGAGCATCTCATATAAACTACAGCACTCTCCATGGTTAAATTAATGTTCTCGTAGCATGTTCATTACTCAAAATGGTGATGTTTATGCGTGTGGTTGGAATGCTGATGGGCAAACAGCTCAAAACAACTTTGAATCACATTTTGAACTCCGGAGAGTAACTGGTGATATTGAAGGAGAAGACATTGTCAAAGTGTCATCTGCTGGAGATTGTGTGTTAGCATTGAACAGTGAGTATGCCTGCTAGTTTGATGCATTGTTTATGACAGTTTGGTAGCTTTATGAAGGATGTTCACTGGTACATACTTGCTGCAAATATATCAATGTTACAGGAAAGGGTGAGGTGTTTGGATGGGGTAACTCTGAGTATGGTCAGCTAGAAAGGCACACTCTTCAGCTGTCCACCTCCAAACACCTCAAATCCACTACACACCTTGGCAAAATAGTTGATGTAGCTGCAGGGGGATCATTTTGTATGGTTCTGAATGGTAAGCTATCACATATTGCAGTCAATTTCTCTCTATCACGTTTTTTATTCTTCACTGAACTTTTCAGAGCACGGACAAGTATTTGTGTGGGGGTATGGTATTCTAGGAAAGGGCCCAAAGGCTCAAAAATCTGATGAGCCAACTGAAATACCATCAGTGTTGTTTGGTAAAAATAAATTCCAGCCAGATGTGAAAGTGACTAGTATTGCTTGTGGTGTTCATCATTTAGCAGCTCTCACAAACTCTGGAGACTTGTACACATGGGGACACAATCGTGGTGGTTGTTTGGGTCAGGGACATGAAAAGGATCAGTTCTTTCCCCTGAAGGTAAATATTGCAATGAATTATGTGAAACTACGATTTTTGAGTACTGAGAGTTTTGTTCTGGTCAACAGGTTGCCATAGGAGCTGTGACCTTAAAAGTGTGCTGTGGAGTAGATCACATGGTTGCTTTATGTAAACCATTCTGATCTGATGCAAGGAGACTAGAATAAAGTTCATTATGTATACCTAAATGTCTATTTATTAAAACCTGCTTAAAATTTTCATTTCACATGCTTCAAGGAATTTGGTTTGTTGTACAGTTACTACTGGAACAAGTTTACTACAATAAAACAAGTTACATTGCTACAGAGCTAACTTGTCACTGCTCCATAAAAATTTAACTGTTGCCAGACATGCAAGCTATGCCTCTAAGTTTTACTAAGGTTGTGGGCATGAACTCAAATTCATTGAATGCAGGAGAACAGTTGTTAGGGGGGTAGCCATCAAATGGAACTATGATCAGGGAAAATAAGGATGAAATTAAGAAAAATAATAAACAAGAAAAGATGGTTGACTGTATTTAGTTACGTACAATGTATGATTTACAATGAATCATCTTCAGAAGGAAAGCCCTTTTTCTTCTGAAGAGATTAGGATGGTAATAATTTAGAACATTTTGGTGACCTGGTCCACCATAAACAGAGTCTATGGTGAGCACAGAAGGTGATGGTACAGCAATTTACATTTCCTTCTCAATCTTGATGAGCTCCTTGATGCCGTCGTGCATCTCCTTGACAGCCTCATACTCAGTGAGACCCATCCGCCTCTTGTTTGAGATGTCATAAACACCACCCTCTGCTTCGGTGTGCTCACCTCGGGTACCACGCACCTGGAGATTGGAAAATTGGAGGTGTAGACAAACAACCTTCTAAATGTAAAGAGAGAGTCATCAGTGAGGGCTACCTACCTGCAGGTTGTACTTTCCAGCAACTTCCTCCAGCTTAGCCAGGTTGGCAGCAAGCTTGGGGAGCTTGATGTGGACAGAGGCACGGACAGTGGTGCCAAGGTTGGTGGGGCAGAAGGTCAGGAAGCCCAGACGGTCGTGGTGGGAGAAAGGAACGCGCTTCTCAATGTCATTGACAGCATTGACAAGGCGAGCAAAGACTTCCTTCAGGTTGCCACCCATCTGCATGGAGATGAGACGAAGGTGGTCCTCCTCATTGCACCAGACCAGGAAAGTCTTGGCGTCGTTGTGGAAGATACCACGGCCAGTGGGCCAGAAACGGCAAGCATTGGCAGCCTAAGGGTCAAATTCAGAAAATATCTTGATACATAGAAACTACTAAAATTATAATTGCTAAATAATGCAACAGACAGCTTTCAGGATTTCTGTTACATCATTTAGAACTTTCTTCATACCAACTCTTCATTTACTTAATTGCATAATCTATAATATAAGAACCAACCTGGAGGAAGCGGTCACCCTCCTTGAAAAGGAAGTGGTCATCGATGAGTTTCTGCTGAACCTCCTTTGTCATACCCTTAAGAGGGTAGTAGGTGCCCTTGAGCTCACCCTCGAGACCAGACAGGGTTGAAGAAACCTTGTCCTGCATCTCAGCGTACTGAGCCTCAGTAAGGCAGGGGTTGAAGGGGTAGCCCTCCATGGAGCGGCCGCAGCGCACACGGGTGGACACGACGTATTCATTCTGTAACAGACGAAGGAAGCTAGAATCTGGTGACCGGATTTGAGGCTTGATTCAAAAAGTGGAAAGGAACATACAGTGGGGTCCACATCGGAGAGGGTCTCCACATCACCCCAGTTCTTAGGAGGGTGCTTGTCGGTCTTCTTGAAACCCTTGTGATAGTCCTCAATGATGGGGTCGAAGAGATCAGCGAACACTGAGTAGGCCTCAGCATCAGGGGCATAGATACCAACGCCAGAGTCATGGTTTTCCAGACCTGCAGTGTAAGACATTTTAGTTATTCAGTGCAATCAAGGTGTAATAAATAAAACCGTTGAAAGGGGAACATAAAATTTACCAGACTGGATGCAATCCAACAGAGTGGATCCAAAAGAGGTCTTCTTAGTCTTTAGGGCATCGAAAACCTCCTGGGTCAGGTACTTCTTAAGAAGAGACTTGCTGTCAGAGGCAGCCAGCTTCTTGTAGCCAGCCTCCAATTTCTCAAGGGTCGCTGCGTCAACCATGTTGCCTCTGAAACATTCAAAATTGCTATTAAGAAAATGAACCACAGTGACCTAATGAACCTGAGGGGGTAAATGGGGATGGGGGGGGGGGTCCATATTGCAAAATAGAGCACTTAAGATAAGGGTGGTAATATCCATTATTATGCAATGCAAGTATTACTGTGCTAAAAAAAGTTAGTGTTAAATACAATGGAAACTGAAACTGTGAAATTGATACTGTAAAGTTCCTCAACGGCCGATTCGGGTACGCATTTTGTCGTCCATGCAGTGCAGCAGGCAAGGCATCAATACAAACAAGGAAGGGTCGGCCCCTGGCGAGGTAGTCGTGCCCTAACTTGACTGCACCATCTAATCCGGGTCCCACCACCCATGTCCAGTCCGTGGAGGCGCTACCACTCCCACTCCGGAGGTACCCCATGGGGTAAAGGGAAGGCGAGGCGAGCCCACGGGTGCGCCCCCGCACGGGGCCCTCCGGCAGCCAGGGCAGGGCACGCCGTCGATGCCATCACGTGATCTGAGCCATCGCGCCAGCCAGCCCGCGCCTTCAATAAAGCATGACAAGCCATCAGAGTGACGGCGCGGGGAGCGGGACCAAACCACGTGGCTTTTCAAAGGGGTGAGGGGCTTTTGGGCTAGGGAGTAAATAATCGAACACTCCGCCATCAAGCGCCATATTTCGCGATATTGCCATTTCTTATCGGCGTACGGGGCGTCCCACAGCACGAGCGCGTCTTCCAGAACTCCCACCGCTCCATTATCCGTGCGGTCTAAAAACATTGCTGCTCCAGCGGTGCCGGTAGTGGGCCCCGCGAGTCCTCGCCGACAGGCATGGCTGCCCACGCAGCTAGCCGCGGGGCGGGGCGGGGCGGGGCGGGGCGGGGCAGCGACGAGCCCGTCATAGGAGTCATCACACCCGCGGGGACGCCGCCCGGCCCGGCCTCTGGGCCCGGCTAGCAGCCCTGGCCGGCCCTCCCCGCGGCGCTCTCCCTTTGTCTGCCGCCGCGACGCGACGCCGCCGCCGGCCCGAGTGGGGCGTGGTCCTCGCGGGGGGTGGGGCGGGGAGGGGGAGGGGGAGGTAGCCCTCCCGTCCTACCGGAGCCGGGGTCCAACCACTTCGACGATACCCACCCTTCGCCGCCGGCCTCCGCCGCCCCGTCCTCGACGGGCTGGGGCTGGTCCTTGGACGCGCAGCCCCCCATCACGTCGGACTATGCTACACTAGGCACTACCGGCTCAGTGCCGGGGCTCTGCGCGGAGAGCTGACGCGCGCGGAGCTGTCTGTCGTACAGCGTCGACGTCGCGCCACAAGTTACTGAAGAGCGAGCTGAGCTGAGCAGCACCACGGTGGCTGAGCCCGGCCCGGAGCTCGCGGCCGCCCTCCCCTCACCACCCCCCGCCCCGCCGGCCCCGCCCCGCCGGCAGCGCGAGCCGCGAGCGACGCGCCGGGCGAGCAGAGCCGGGGATCCTCCGCCTCCCTTCCTGATCGATAATTCGGGCGCGGCAGCGCGGCACCCTCCGCAGCCCCGCAGCCCCGCAGCCCCGCGGGCACGCAGCGCACGCCGCGCTAGCCGCGACACGGGAGCACACCAGTGCGCACGCGCGGAGGGGAGGCTCCAGCGGCAACAGCATCCCCTCCGCGCCTCTGGCGTCCCCTACAACTGACGACGCCCCTCGGTGGTAAACCAAGAGAATGGCGAGCAGGGAAGTACAAACCGAGTACTCTGACGCCAACAACCGACTCGTTATATTAACCAATGTAACTGGGAAAAGCCTCTGGTTGAATAATGAATAAAGGCGTGAGATGTCCAAAACTGATGTTACTAGAGCCTATTCGGGGTGCTCCAAGCACCGCGACATGAGGGCGGCCGGCCCCGGGGGCTGACCGACACCCCAGCACGTGAGGGTGGGCGTGCCACGGGGACGGGCACAAGCCGGAGCACGAGTGTGAATCCACCCCACCCCACATAACTGGACACTCGTAGGCGTAGGGGCACTGGCATGGTCGTGCGTCACTGCTTCGCACATTGGAATCGATTGTCATTATATGACCACCTCCACCTATCGCCACGCGGCCCCATCACTAGCCGTGATGGGAACTTTGAGCTACACAAGGTGGCCCCGGACCCCTCCCTTTAGTTTGCTAGGACTGTACCGCTCGCAGGCGTGCGCGCGGGGTTGCACACTCGCACGGGGTCGTAAGGCGCCGCCGTGAGGAAAGCCCGCCCGCCCGCGCGCCGGCATGCGGCACGTATAGGCATGAGAAAGGGGCCTGTGGGCCACCCTGTCGCTCCCGCCCTAAGCAACAACCAGGGGCTCGAATGGCGGGTCCCATTCAACGTGCCGGTGAGTGGCGGGTTGGCCTACTCGCTCGGGCCGCAGGGGTCGCGACGCCTATAGCGTGCAAACGAGCAAGCCCACGACACTGCGGCGTGTGCGAAAGGAACACCGAGAGCGCTGCTTTGCACAACCATCAGACTGGCTCTCCCGGGGACAGCGAGCCCTCCCCTCGCGTCGGACTAGTGCTGGACGAGGGGCTTACTGGTCAGCAGCGGCCGGCGGCGAGGGCATGGCCGGGCCCGCGGCCCCCGCTGGTCCGGGGGCGGGGCCGCCTCCACAGTCGCAGTGCTCACAGTGCTTGCCTGGTTTCAATCGGGTGGACATGTTGGGTAGCGGGAGCGGCCGCACGGGGACGGGGCCGATGGGGCGCTCTCAGGTGCTCTGTTGTCGACAATGGAGCAGTGGTGCCACCAGGGCAGCCGGGCCAGCGCGACAGCGAAGCGTCGCGATAACATGTGTATTCATGACTAAATCAAGTCCAGGAGAGGAAACTTGAAGTCAACTAATGGCCGTGACGAACTTCGGTTGTATGGGAGAGCATCCTTTCATTTGCTGGAGCGCCGGGCCCGGTCAGAGCGTTTCGCAGCCTCACCCCATCATTTCATCATTCCTGTCGGAAAGGCGAAGGCGTCGCCGCGCCGCACCCATACCCGCCAAAGAGAAAGCCGCTCCCTCTGGCGGCGCTCGGGGGAGTTAGTCATAGGGTGGGGTAGTGGCGCCGCAGAGCCAGGGGTGCCGACGCTACCCCGCGAGAGGGCGCTCGGAGTATCGCCACACCGCAGAGCGCACCCTCATGGGGGGTAGAAACAGCCACGACCGAAGGAAAGCGTCATCTGCCAAAATATCGTTGCGAAACAATGCAATCGCCAGCCGTCACAGCATTTGCATACGGTGCTCGTACCGCGGGGCGGAGCCGGCACCACGCCTCCGTCGGCGCGCCAGGCGGGCGCGGCTGCAGAGAGATCACCACACAATTGATACTAAATCGACGCTGGCCGGATGGATGCGACGCGCATCATCTCAGGCCCTCATAAGCAGGATGATTGATTGAGAGCACTTTTACAGATTTGGGAGTCGTCACCCGTGCACAAGGTTCAAAAGTTGTGAAAAACAATTGTAATGCGTTCTCCACCATTAAAGAACATCCGATACTTCTCCCCCTGAAAAAGTCCCGACTTTCGGCAGGGCAGGGCAGGGCGGACAGGGCTGCGTCAGAAAGTAAAAGACCTCCCATTCGGTCCTGCGAGGCTCTGAGGCAGCCGCGGTTCGACCCTCACCTTGGCCTAAGCCATGCCCCCCCCTCCCCCGCGACCGTCACGCTCAGCCAGAGCTGTAGGACGGACGGGACACAGCACGGTGCATCACCATCAACGCCCCGAGCCCGAGACCCATGCCACGAGAACAAGGCGCCATAAAAAGGTTCGATGGATCCTCCCGGATGTCCATGCAAAACGAAAGACTATTTCACCTTGCGACGCCTTGCGACCGGCTCAGATCAGGCGGGTCGTCCAAAGTCACCAACGTAACGTATGCTCACGCCCGCAGACTTGTCGGCCCAGCGTCAGCGACCAGGAAGGTCCTGGACTAGAGGGCCACGGCGAGAGCGCCGGCTGCCCCTCAGTCTGCGGCCGGCCGTGGGGCCCCGGCAGAGACGGATCAATATCGGCGCCAGCCGAAGGCTCAGCTGCGGCTACCGCCCCGCCCCTCCACGCACTGCGTCCGGAAACCAAGCTCCATCCCTCGTCGGGTCGGCGGGGCGGCTGGGGGGAGGCCGTTCTCCACGCAGCCAGCGCTGCCGCCGCCGGCGAGCCGCCCTGCCCTGCCGCCCCTCCCAGACTGTCTCGCTCGCCACACCCACCCCCTGCACCGCCCCTTGGGCTAGGTTGGGGTTGGGCGACACCCCGCTAGCGGCCGCTCCACCACGGCCGCCCGAGGCCGACGCCGAGGCCGCAACCCGGGAAAGTGAAAGGGGCGGAGTAATACAGTGGGGCCGATAGGGGGCGTGCACCCAG